ATAAGTTACAAAAAAAAAAGAACTTTTTCACGATATTCAAATTTTTTGAGATGCACCTGTATAATGTTAGCCTAGTTTTCTTGCCTCAAAAACAGTAATGACTTTACAGTAATGAGTTTTCATGACCATTTTCCACCTTCTCTGACCACCTTAAGAAAGTATACTTCAGTTTTGACACAAAGTATAGGGCTAGACGATATAACCAAAATCATATTTTACGGTATGAGAAATTTTAATGTCACACTAACAGTTCACATCTCAATATAGATATTTTTTATTTTTATTTTTGTTATTAAACATAAGAACAAAGAATCAACTTACAAACAATAGGACAAATACGATAGAACAAAGATACAAATTAAACTTTACATTTTTTAGCTACAGACTGTTTATTTAACGTAGTAATATGCGTAAAGCTATGCATGGGCACTTCGGGATAGCATGAACAAACACAGGCACTCGACACTTTATCTTTGTCCATTGTCTGCACTGTTTCTCTCCAGAAGTAATGAGCAATACAAAAATCTCTTTTAAACTCTGAACCCCCTCAGAGAAGCATTGTCAGGTGTCTGCTGCGTCTCCAGCAGTTTGTTGTTCCTTTTCTTTTTCGAACTGTGAAACAATAAGCCGGATCAATGATGGAACCTTGTGAACTGCTTAATTAGTGCAAGAACATTCAAGGTGCTTGGAGCTGAGTGCATGGAGTACATGTGGTTAGAAAAACATGACTGTGCACATACAGTATGATGACAGTTATGCCACAGACATGTAAATAATGAAGTATGCTTTGTGCTGTAGAAGTAAACAGGATGTTTTTGCTACTGTACCTTTAAGATGATGAAATGTAGATACCTCTGTTTTGATTGGCTAACTATTAATCATGTAGAAGTATGGGTGGTCATATGTGATTGAGCTTATGGTCGTGGTGTCATAACCACAATTTCTGAACTGGTTGTTTATGAAGTTTAGTTTGATTAAATGGACTGTGCTGTGGATCACGTTTATGGTGTCCCTTTTTCCCATGATGTGAATTAATCATGCATCGATTGCCTTGCTGTTTTACTCTTTGCTACATTATTCACACTGGTGCTGTCGTCTCTTTGAGTTATGGGTCATGTGGTAGTAACTTGAGTGCAATTTATCCCTTAATGATGTGTTTTTGAGTGGTTTGTGTGTGGGATATCAGGGACTGTGCATCTATGGTTGAAAACCACAAACATCGAGAGCAATAACTTCATGTTTAAATCAAGTATTGTTCTAAAAGCAGAACCCAAGAGATCAGAAACAAACAGTGGGCTATCGTCTGCCGATTAATACTATACATCACCATCTTTCTCAGTATCACCTCTGTGTGCTACAGATACTCAGCTACTGTCCGCCTCTGCTTTAACCTCTCTGTCAGTCAAGTCATCCATGTCTAGTTCATTGAGAGCAGACGTCACTCTCTCCCTAACTCAACAGTGCCGCCCATTCATCAGCCCCCGGCAGAAACTCAACCTCCTCTGAGAATGAGCTGCGTGAAAGGAGCCAGTGTGATTGTGGAGGGCCGTGTGTCTGAGACGGAGCTCGAGTGCTCTCAGCCAGCGGACAGTGCTGCCAGATCTCTGTTATCGCTGTGTTTGGATGTGCACGGGCCAGCAAGCCAACTGCAGGAGCAGATACCAGCTTCTCAGATATTGCAGCACATCCGTGTCTCCCATCTGTAGAGGTTTAATATAGAGATGCACCGATCGATCGGCCAGGGATCAGAATCGGCCGATTTTCCTCATGATCGGCCCGGATCGGTGATCGGTCGGTCAGTCTCACTTCTTTCCGATTCAAGCCGATCCGTTTTGTTACCAGCGGCACAGGCAATAACATCAGCCGCGCATTCTCGCTCTCTTCTCTCCGACGACCCCTTCTCTCTCACACACGTCTCATTCGCTCCGGTTAAATAGTGCTTGTATTGCGCATTATTTTAGTAATTCCCGCAGGTTTTGCGCTTAAACCAAATGCGCGCGCACCAGAACTGATCTATATTAGTGGAGCGCACAAGCCGCGCTCAGTCTCAAACAGCTTGTGAGCCACAAATACCAAAATGAGTGGCTAACTGCACTAAAACGTTCAAATACATAAGAGACCGCATGTTGTGTAACAGTATATTGGGTCTGTGGATAAACTCTTAAAGGGACCGCAGTCCAATATTTATGCTGCTGTCTGTCATGTTAATCAAAGAACAAAAGATAAAGAAAATCACTTTCTGCTCTTGACCCCATACGTTTTAAAACTTTAATGGTAAGCATTAATCTGTATTTAATTTTTACAACGAAGACTACAGAAATTAAAGTAATCAAATGTAAAATATCACTGGATTACTTTAATTTCTGTAGTATTTCTTACCTGAAGAAAAACTTAGTTTCATAGCTCTCTTTATTCTATTGCATTTATTTGTGCTGTTGTTTGCCATTTTTTTTTATTTGTTCTTATTTTATTACTGACTTTTTATGAAAATAAAACTGCTTTGAAGAAAAGTAGATTTTTGTTTGTATATGCTGTCAATTATAGTTCTTAGAAAGAAAATCATAATCGGCAAAAATCGGTATCGGCAGATCACACTAACAAAAAAATCGGAATCGGCCAAGAAAATTGCAATCGGTGCATCTCTAGTTTAATAGGTCTATGACAGGGCAGTCCGATCCTGCTTCCTTCCTCAAGCTCAAACACAACTTCCTGCAAGTTTTTAGAGATCCTGAAGAGTTTGACTAGCTGGTTCAGGTGTGTTTAATTGGGGGCTGGAGCTAAATTGTCCCTCCAGGAGCAAGATTGGACACTTCGTGAACTTTTAGACCAGTGTTTCCTAACCCTGTTCCTGGAAGAACCCCAACACTCTTAAAAATAAAGGTGCTTCAAAAGGTTCTTCAAGCGATTGGTTCCACAAAGAACCTATTCAGTCAAAGGTTCTTTAAAGGGGTCATATGATGCGATTTCAATTGTTCCTTTCTCTTTGGAGTGTTACAAGCTCTTGGTGCATAAAGAAGATCTGTAAAGTTGCAAAGACTAAAGTCTCAAATCCAAAGAGATATTCTTTATAAAAGTTAAGAGTCAGCCACGCCTACCTAAAACGGCTCGTTCTAACACACCCCCACATATCTACCTCACTATGTGGAAATATTAGCATAATGCCGCCCAAACGTGCACGCAAAGAATGTTTTGTTTTTTAAGTATGTGCTATTGACTGTTCAAATGCGGAGTTTTGCGCAGCGCAGAGTAACGCTTTGTGTGTGTGTGTGTGTGTGTGTGAGAGAGATTGAGTGAGTGAGTGTGAGTGTGTGAGTGTGTGTGTGTGTGTGAGTGTGTGAGTGTGTGAGTGAGTGAGTGAGTGAGTGTGTGTGAGTGAGAGTGAGTG